ACCCTTCCCCGAATGTTATTCTACAACGTAATAAACACGGAGGAAAAAAAATCTGGTTTTGCATAAATTGGAAATCCGATAGATTCAATCAGAAACGTACAAATTAGATATCTGTAATAAAATCTATCGAATGTTCTAACTATCTGAGAAAAGTCTTAATAATCATCAAGTTTAAATGAAATTGCTGCAGCTTTGGTGAAATAATTTTAAGCAAATGTTGATATAATCAAAATCAACTAAACGCTAATTTTATTTTAAATATTAATCATTTAATATAATTTAATAATTATTACCAAACGATCGGTTGTGTTTGGTAATATTTACTATTATTATGTTTGATGATATTTATCAAATGTTGCACCAATATACTAAACAAAATACATTTGGTAGCTATTACCTACCTTTCATCTCACAATCAATAGGTATACAAAAGCCCGAGCAAAAGCCAGAAATTCAATTACGATAATAAAAATTCTGATTGGTACGATTGGAATTGTATGCATTTGGCGTGCATTTCGTATGTACTTCTCATTCGTATATATACCCGAAACATTTTTTCTCGGTACAGTGATGTAGATGGATTTTTCGAAAGTAAAGCTATTTTCATCGATTACAGAAGACAATATAATGATCAATAAGCCCGCGTTAATCTTTGACGGTTGAACGACTTGACACGAATGTACTGTAAGTACATTAGAATTATCAGTTTACGATTGAAAGCATTAAGTCATTATCAGCTTATAATTAAAAGCGTTACAAATGTGTGATATTCGCCCGCGCTACATCTTTAACGACTCGATACGAACGTATCGTAAGTTAGAATTATCACTTTACGATTAAAAGCATTAAGTCATTATCAGCTTATAATTAAAAGCGTTACAAATGTGTGATATTCGATATACTATATCGGGCAGTAATTGTAAATCTTTAATATCCGTTTTATATCCGCGAGAGAATGTCTCGAATTAGTGCGCATCTCGTCGCAAAAATGGATGTTACGTAATACGACGATAATGTACGTTACGCAGATCATTTCGAGACGCAGTTCCGCGATGTGCGAGCACGGGCATATATCGCAGATCTCTCTCGGGTTCTCCTCGCCCGTTCGGCGAGACTCGGTGTGAGCTATTATATTTATCTTAAATGCGATCCGGTTATTGATCTCTAAGGTTGCCGCGGCCGAGCGCTGAATAAATAAAGGGTAAAGTAAATAAACCTCCAGACGGGCCGCTCCAGTTTCTTACTGACGCAATGCTCACGAGATTATCTCAGGTGGAATTTCATCCGTTCGCTCCCTTCTTTATCACGGGTCGTGATTCAGTGGCCGTGACTCGAGATCGGCGGCGGCGGCAGCGAGCTCCGAGAGAGTTGTGTATGTGAGAGGCAGATGACGAACGAGGTGGTTCCTCGAAAAGGCGAGCGTTACCGCTTCATTAAAATCGTTCGCGGCCCGTACAGTCTCGCTGCCATTAATGCGCGCCCTTTACTGCCCCGATATATCGCACGTACAAATCGAGCTTTCGATTCTAGGAATATAGCAGCGATGATCATTTATCATATCAAATGGGCTTCCCCCAGTCACGGTCGCATTAGATTTCAATTAGGGCGCGATCGATGATGACCTTTGACATTCAAAATTTTATGTAGCGTGCGCCATTCGCGTCGGTCGCGCATTTTATCGAAATTGCCATCGCAAAAGTACACACATTCGCGATTATTGATATAGAAATAATAATTACGATGCAATTTAACTAATTAGATAATTCAAATGTCGGTGACAGAAATTATAATATGAATTAATTAATTAAATCAAATAATAATCGCAATAATAAATGATAGTTATAGCATGTAATAACGAGCAATTATAATATGTAACGAGCTTTTGGCGAAGGGAGAATGGAATGCGTCGTTAGGAAAATATTTAACGAATTACGCAGCTGCGTGAAGTTGGCGCTCCTAAGTGCGAATTTTGACAAAATCTATATGGCATTAGATTGTTCATTATTTGTCCATATTTGTCCAATAATAATTTTTTGTCCACTCTTAGAAAAGATTATTGCTCTAATTTTTTATTTGTTTATAATTTTTTGTAGCAAGATAAACAAAAAACGATTATTGATGGACAAATGCGGACAAATTGTGGACAATCAAATCCCGTATGTAATTTAAAAAAAAAACGCACTTAGGGGTGCTTAGGTTAAAAAAATTTTTTTTTATTTTTTCCAAGAGTGAACAAAAAATTATTATTATTGGACAAATATGGACAAATATTGGACAATCTAATGCCATATAAATTTTGTTAAAATTCGTACTTAGGGGTGTCAACTTTGGCTGAATTACGCTTGTATAAAAAGAAATTTTTCACCGCCGCCGTGTAACGATTAACTGCGACAATATGTCGCAGATATATAATCGACGATGCTAACAACAAATTTTGTGAAAAGTCACGCTGATGATATCCTGATTAAACCTGATTTATAAGCCACGATGCTTTTTTGTTCTCTTAAGAAAGAATTAATTTATAAAAGTAAAAACGGATTACAAAATCTTATTTCTTTTTATTTTAACGAAATTATATTATATGGTTTTGTTACAAAGATATTTAATGAATATTGAAGTGCTCTGAGAAAAATAATCTAATCAATTTTTCACTGAAGAAGACGCGAACTTATCTTCTAGCAAATTAAAAAACTAGCAGCTAAAAAAATATAGTTCTATAAATTGTATTTTTTTAACTATTCTACACTGTTAAATCTAGTGTCAAATTTAATGTTATTTAAATCGCCACTGCTCCGACTTAATAAATAGTTATTATTAATTAAAACAATGGAGTTCAATAATTTAAAACAGTTAAAATTTAAGTTAAATTCCACTTTATTTAAAAATAATTATATATTAAGTAGGAACAGTGGCGATTTAAATAATGTTAAATTTGAAATTATAGATTTAACAGTGTAATTACCTTAAAAAAAATACATACATAATTTACAGAATTATATTTTTTAGCTGTTAGTTCGCTAGAAAAATCGCATACTAATTGCTAGCAAAAAAAAGCAGGTATATCAGGTCTTATACATATAAGATATTTAAATCCAAAGACCTACATACAGTGCGATATACATTACGCCCGCATCAGAAAATTAGTCATAATTCATCTGCAATAAAAAAAATGTAAAAAAAAGATACCCCGCCTCGCAGAACGAAGCTGCTCAGCGAGCTCAGGTACCTCCGGGTACCCTGAGAATGACTCAGGAACAGGTCGGGAAGGGAAAACCGTCGTGGACTACTACCCGAAACAGGACAAAAGGCAACCGCGGAGTCGAGCCGGTTGCACGGACGTTGGTTAGGCCTTTAATCTCTCCTCTGTATCTTTATTATAGTTGCGATTGTACGATGAGGTGGATTGTGTGTAATAGGGGAGAAGAGGATATCGCTGGCACGATTGAATAGCCAATCAAAGCGATCGATACAGCTGATCAACCCCATGGGACGCCTGTACTTTACGACATTAAATCTGCTCTTCTTAGTTACGATTTAATACCTTTCTTTCGTCCAAGATACGAAGGTGTGTGTCGCAGAAAGAAAGTTAAGGATAAAAAGTGTAAAATGTGTGCCGATGAAAAAAGCAGATTTACTAGTCAATAAAATTAATTAGGTGTTTTTTTATCAGTTTTATTCTGTTTAGACGCGTTCTCTATACGTGCCTAGAATTTTTCCTTCCTAATTTTCGTACTTTTTATTCTAAAATTTGAAAAACTTCGCTTCGTCTTCAGTGAAGAATTGATTAGATTATTTTTCTCAGAACATTTTAATATTCATTAAATATCTTTTTAACAAAACCACGTAATACAATTTCGTTGAAGTAAAAACAAATAAGATTTTGTCATCCGTTTTTATTTCTATAAATTAAATTCTTTCTTTTTCAATTTTTCTTCTTTTTCAATCTCTAATTTCTTAGATTTTTCCGTTATCTTATTATTCATGTTTTGATTTTTCTTATAAAAATTTTCTTATAAAAACATCAACTCTAAATTGACCGAAGACTCTGTAAGGTGAACTGTGAAAAATCCGTGACACATTAGAATATATACTCGTTTCATTCACAATGGCAGAAAATGTAAATGCAAAGGGAATTTACACAGTTATTAATTAACTGAAGTTAAATGAACTTTACTTATATAACAATAAAACGTGGTTATTATATATTTCTCTTATTGTGAAATTAACTGCGCCAACGTTTCGCTCAATATCACCCGAAATGTATTTAAAAATATTGCGATACCGATAAATTATTTGTTAGCAGCTGTTTAGGAATTATTTCCCCATTATTTTCAACAATAATACTAATTTATGTACTACAAACATTAATAACACAAATTGAATAATACAAAGCCTTGTGGATAATGTAAAGCCTTTCTAGAGAAACCTGCATTCCAAAATCACTGTGCGATGTGCCACAAACAACGATTGAATTCACACTAAAGGGTGATTCTTGGTCCAGCCGAACTTTCTTTCATTGTCCTACGTTACAGGCAGGACTGTAGCGGTTTTGCGAATCTGCTAAGTCAGGGCTGACCCGTACCTGCGAAAGGTATCCCTAATCCTTTTTTTTTTTACTCCTGTCGACGCTGCAACTGAAGTTATCACGTGGAGAAGGACCGACAAAAAACACATTCCGAAAAATATAACCCTACTAACTGGACTTTCTCCTTTTGTGTCCTCTTTTAAAGACGCACCGTCGCATGACCGTTTTAGTGTTATTGCAAAAAAAAAGGGCAGGAAAACGCAGTTAGGACGGGAAAGGAATGTACGAGAGGGACAACGATCGAGGAAAGGATGGTCAGCCACGCAGACACGGAGGCTGATCGACGCGATCGCTCGCGAACAGGCTTTGATCTCTCGACTTCCTGAGGGAACGGAAGGCGCGCGCGGACGAGTCCGCGATCGAGGATCGCGAGGACCGCGAGAAGGAACGAAAAACACACTGGCGCCTGACTAACCTTCACGCTGGCTGAGTATCCGTCACCGTGGCGAAGACAGTACCCCGTGGAAGCAATCACATGATGCACTAACAACGAACGCACAGCACGGCCGCACGACGACCGCTATCGGGCTGAATCCGTCGACGGGGCATCGGTCGGGACGACGCCGCCGCGCGATCCGTATCGGCCTCGGCACGAAAGTGACAGGAGGGAACGTCGTGCAGGACGATCCTTCGCGAGCGGCCAGGGCGCTTCTGTCTCCCTCTTTCCTTCTCTTTTCCCTTCCCCTGTCTCTCTCTCTCTCTCTCTGTCCGTCCGTCTCCGGCCTCTCTTTTCGTTTCGGCCTGCTCTTTCGTCTCGCTCCCGCCCTCCCGACAAGGTGTTCCTCGGACGGGCGTCGAGGTGTGCACGGGACCGTAACGAGGCGATCTCGCGAATGCGGCGAACGGCGAGGAGCGCGACCGACACACCAGGCACACAACACACGCACGCACACGCACACACGGAGGACAAATCAGACACGCACGTACACGCGGGGGCACGGGCCAGGGGGGAGGGGAACGCCTGTCGCGATCCCGCGACGGCCTGCGTCCGGCGGAGATTCTCGGGCGCGAGAGGGACGCGAACGGGTTCGGTGACACACACCACGACGTTACGCCCGTGCGTCGTCGTCGTCGTCGTCGTTGACGTCGTCTCCGGCGACGGCGGCGGCGGAGTGGAGTGGCGGCGGCACGGCGGCGGCGCGGCGGTACAGCCAGGCAGGGTTAACAATGGCGGCGTACGACGTGCTCCGAACGTACGTACGGCGGACGCAGGGAAGGGGAGGGGTGGCAGGAGAACCGTACCGCTAGATGTCGCGACGAAACGGCGATTGTACCGTACGCTCCTACCGCTCCTACCTACGGTTCGAAAGAGACTCCGGTTGAGTTACGACGTTTTGCTGCCTATTTCGGAGCCGATCAAACGGAGCAGAGGAAGAAGGAGAGACTTTCTGTGCGTCTCCCAAGGTCCCAGGCAATTTTTTTTCGCCAATCCTGGAGGAGACCGCCTCTTTGCCTTTTTTTGCGAAACGTTCCTCCCCCGTCTTTTGTCGCCCTGCAGGAATCTTCCCGGGACTCCTTTTGTTCTATGCTTTATGACTCCCGTTCGTCTTACAGAAACTTTTTCTTTTTTTTTTACTCTTTTGCGAAACGACTGTCGCTGCTTTAATTGCATCGCGCGCTCACGTCGCGCTCGTTCTTTCGCTTAAATCACAGCTTCGAAAATGGCAAAACGGGATGTACTTTATTGGAACGATAAATTAAAGGAGCCGGGTCGTTTTCGAAGTACCGACGCGTCCGGTGTCTCGGACTTCGCTGTCCGTCACGCGCGCCCGAGAGGGCGACAGCGGAAAAGGCAGCCCCTCGAATCCGATCGCTGCAGAAAACAACTTCTCGTGTTACATCTTTGTATATCAAACGGAGGCTCATGCCGATGTACTTTGTCATCTACTTTATCTTATTAAACAGAGACAATATTATTATGCGTCGACAATGATCTCAGATTTTATTATATATATATATTATATAGTCTAGTTTACAGTCAGTATACAGTCTATTCTTACAGCAGTTTAATTCAAGTTCAAATTTTGTTTAAAGATTACCCAGTTAACATGTATTAACAATAGCGTTACATCAATATTATATAATTTTCCACACAATATAAATATAATGTCACACTTGTTGTACGTAACAGACAAACAGTTGGAAACATAATATATTGATTATTGATGTAGCATATGATGTTACTATTAATTTGTGTTTTCTGGAAAATTTAAGCCTATATCAAACTACGCATTGGAGATTGAGGATTGCGAATTGAAAATTAGAATTCGACTATCTGATTAAGAACGAAACAGATAAAATTAAAGCTATGATCGTAGAAGGCGCTCTCAAATTTATTTGTAAAATTAAAATTATCAAATTGATCGAGAAGTCTATAATCTTTAGTTCGCAATCTTCAATCTCCAATGCGTAGTCCGATATAGTCCTAAAGCAATTCATGAGCTATTTATGTAAGCTATTGCCTATTTATTCTATGAATTTCGAGAATAACTATTTATTAGATACAGTTATAAGCTGCATATAGTAGTTTATAAACTTGGCAGCTCAAACCTCTAAACGTCTTTTTTTGTAATACTCTATTAAATGTTAAAAAAGAATCTGATCGATCGTCTCGCGAGTTAAACGAACGTTTCGTAAGTATAATACTTTATGAGACAATAGTTTCGTATAAGATGTCAATCCAGCAGAGGGCAAAAGTAAAAATAGTAATAATTCTATTGAAAGATTATTCTAAAATTCAAAATCCAAAAAATATCTAATTAATCCTAATAAAATTCGACGTTAAATTTCCCAATTATAAAATAATATTTAATCGTCGCATCAGCTGGGTGGAAGCGAATCTTGCATTTGTCATCGATGCGACGCATTTCGCGTCGCAGCGTGCTACATCAGCAACTTAATATTATAAGCTCGTCGACTCAGTGGACAGGATTCGCGTAACGTTCAATACGAGTGTTAAGTTTCATTTTTCCGCCGGCCGTGCGAAATTGAATGCGCGGTCGATATATACGCGGCGACGCCGGACGGTACGATCAGCGTTAACGATGCCGGTTACAGCCGGTTACTCCGATGATTCCGACGGCACGGTAACGCCATCGCGACTGTGGCGACTACTGTGTATACGCGTCGCGCTCCGCTTTCGTGCGCGACTCGTGCGATCGAATCGAACCGAACCGCGCGGCGTGTGGCGTACAGAACGGCGCGGCGTGCTCGATAAGCGATCGCGTTGTTTATCGCGAGTGGAACGGTCGATCAGATCGAGTGCCACGCGACGAGGGCCTCCCAACGTGGACGGTACGTATACGCACCGTGCACGCGCGCCTCTCGCGCACACGAGGCCTCGTGAGCAACGACGCATTCGGATCCGTGAAACGACGCAAAGGAACGCGAAGAGAGACGCGGCGCGCCGACGCGACCCCGGGATTCGACGCGAAAAGAAGAAGTAACGAAGACTCTCTGTTAATTGATCATGAATGAGCAGGTAGAATAACATAAAGCCTGTGTTAGACTATGCACTACTGGAGATCGAGAATTGCGAGTTGGAAAATTAGAATTTGACCTGTCGGATTATTTTGATTTTAATCCATTTCGTTTTAACGGGTTTCAATTCTAATCTCCAATTCACGATCCTCAAGCTTCAATGTGTATAATAGTCTGATATGGGCTCAAGACCTGTTCTTTGTCGCTATTCTGAACTGCACTAAAACTTTCTATCTTGCTTTTGCCAAACTTCAAAAATATATATATATATGTATACACACACACACACACACACACATATATATATATACATATATATATTTTATTTTAAGTACAACGAGTGTACTCGAGTTCAGCTACAATGAACAGATCTGTGATAACTGGAGCACGTGCTCCAATTTTCATGACGCAAACTGGAAGGAGGATCAGTTGTCAATGAAAATCAGTGGAAAATTCAAAAATTGAAGCGTTGTATTTGTGGTCTTGTATTTAAAACCGTCTTGAATGTGAATTTCGAGAAACTGCACGGTTATTTCATTGGTTAGATGAAATCTTAAGACCATCTCAGGCCAGACTTAAATTGATCTCGTCAGGGAGAGAATGCCTTCTCAGAAAGCACGCCGCGCAGCCTCCATTTTTTACGAAACGCGGGAAAGATTTAAATGTGTTTACAGGTCGAGGATAAGATCGAGGATTGCGAATTAGAAGTAAGGGAAGCTTTAGAGAATCGATTTTGCTACACGCGGAAGACACTTTAGAAAAGGTAGGAAACGGAATCGATATTGCCTTTTTTGAAAACTTTCCAGCGTCCGTTCATCGGAATCCCGAACAAAGGAGAGAACCCTGAAACCCCCCGCCTAGGTAAAAGATCCTAAAAAAAGCTAAAAAAAGAAAAAGTCGAGCATGTACTCCGCGTATAATTGTTTCAGCTCATAAAATACACTTCTCCCTGCGTGTTCTGTATTCCCTGCAAACTTCCCGTCCCAGTCCGGTGAGATCCGGTCTTTTTAGTGTTGTTACGCTTGCTTTCACATTCATTATTCGGAATGACGCGACCCAGACGTATTATGCGAATGAGGAACGAGGAATGAAAAAACTGCGAAAAAAAATATAGGACGAGAAAAACTAACGGATCGTGCCGTTTTGCGTACACGGCGATCCTATTGTGTTTGATGCAGTCTGACGGCGCACGAAGTGCGTCTATCGGCTGTGGCAATTTTTTTAAAAATCCTCGTCGAAACTAGAGTAAAAAGTTGAAGGACATCGAGAGCGGAGTGAAAGAGGGAAAAAGCGGAATTTTCGAGGATTTCTGGGACAGATATGCATGATTCACGAAATCGAGAACATGTGTGCGACGGCCCTAAGCAGAACAAAAAGTCATAAAAATAGCGTTAAAATGATTACTAAAAGTCACTTTTTGAGTTATACGATTCAAATATATAATACTGTTATTTTCTGTAATAACATATATATCTGTAAACACACAGACTGCAAATATCATTGTTACAAAGATATTTTATACTGTATATATTGTATATATAATATTTAACATACATTTAACATCTTTCTCGGGCGTACAGCTTTTATGAATTTATCAGTTTTAATATATAAATATATAATTAATTTTTTATATTTATTAATTATCCATTATACATATATAATTTATCCTTTATCATTATTATAATTTTTGAAACGTCATTTTGATTATCATAATTTGTTGTTCTGGCCTGAGGGCCAGTCTCCAAAGCTTTATTCATAGCATGAACTGGAAAGCAACGCAAAAAGGAACATATCCTTGGAGAATATAAGTAAATAACTAACGATATGTGTATGTATAGCATGCCATAAAATAAATAGGGGAGAATTGCCGAATGCGTACCACTTATAAGATATTTTTGGTTATATTTTACATTTGGTACTATTTAAAATGCAAACAAACGTTGAAAATTGTAGCTTGATGTTCAAGGCAGCTAATATTACATGTTAAATCTTTTACTATAATAGCAGATTAATTTTTTTCTAAGTTTTTTTGCAATATGTTGTCAAAACGATTCAACAAACCGGTCGCCTAAATCGTACCTGTGAGTTTTATTAATAGTACCTCCTTCTAAACTATTCAATTTATGAATGAAAATAAATAAAAACACAAGATTTCGATAAAAGAATCATTTTTTAAAATGTTGATAGCATGAACAAAACAAGATGTAACCTGTTCATTTTTTGTCTATCTTACACATTTCTTATTTACTTCATATTTTCGTTACTAAATGTTGCTTTTATTAAGTAGAACTTTATAAAATTTTGAAGAGGTATGCTTTATGAGACCGGTACGCATTTGGCAACTCTCCCCTAAATATTGACGTTTCGGTCGTCGGACAGTATCTTGTACCTAATAACAATGAATTTTGTACATTCCACCTTTATGTTTCGAAAGGTCGAGCGTAAAAATCTGTCTGTAATTCGAAGGGATATAGGAGGATAGGGCGCCGTTAGCACGTGCTCCAATTTTTACGGCCGCGAAAGGAGAATTAGCTATCAGCGAGGATCTCGGGCACGAGGACACCATGTGTGCGAGGGTGCACTGACGGCGGGTCTCCGGATGGCTGTAATCGATAGCCGGGGGGAAAGGAGGAGGGCGGGGAAGAGGTAACTTGCATATCGCGTGTATCGACGAAGCGTTTCGCTCGCTTTCGCTGAATATTCGTCCCGGCCGACCTGACCCGCGGCGCCGAAGGAATGCCCCGCGCGCATGCACGCGCCGCGGACGTTTTCCTTCGCGATGACAGATCGAACGAGCAGTCGCCACCGAAAGTGTTTCGCGACATACGCGCGCGCGCGCGAGAAAGAGAGAGAGACCGATCTCTCTCCCGGTTTCTTGCCGCCTGGCCGATTCCCGCGTTTGCCACGCGAATTCTCTCACCCCGTGTAATATATGTATAATCTCGTCTCTACATAGTGCATATCCGTCGTCGTCGTCGTCTTTTCACGCCCGTTCCCACTACACGCTTGGATTCCTCGTGCTCGGCCGAGGCTCGTGATCGGTCGATGCGCTCGGTAAATAATATCGTCGTCGCTGCAGTACGCACGAAGCGATATTCCGTGTAACGCCACGTTAAATTAACGGCACGTGCATCGGCGCTTCGCTTGTCGCTTCAGAGGAAACGTAACCCGGAGACGGAGAATATCGCGATTACGGGGCAAATTGAATTGAGATGCCGTCAGCCACCGATCGTCTGAAACATATGGGATCGCGGATCCCGTTTGTCGCGGCGCGGCGTCACGAGCCGATATTTTTTTCTGCGATTTGAAATGCCGATGAACGTCGCTGATATAATTCGAAATGCATTGCTTATGATTTTGTATTTTTATGCACGCGTGATTGATACCGGAGGTATCAAATTATTGAAATCTTTGTTTTTTTGTATATATATTCTTTACGCTTATTATCAGATTATCACCAGAATAACGCAAGCATCTATTTATCGCTTTATCACTTTCATATTACTTTTAAGTAACGTGAAGATTGGACAGTATGTATCAATAATACTGTATATGATACATTGTTATTTTTTGTAACTTTCTCTACGTACGTTTTTATAAACACAGAATGCAAATCATTCTTATGAAAAGACATTTATCGCTTAAAACAGTTCACTTCACACATTTCAAGCATACAGCATATATATAGCTTTTATGAATTGATCACTTTTAATACAATAAATATAATTAATTTTTTCTATTTATTAATAACTTCTTGTATATAATTTATTCATTTTTATAAATAATTTATACATAATTTATCCCTTATCCCTTAATATATATATTAATGAACACTAATTAGTATAATTTTATATAATTTTAATATTTAAATTAATTTTATATGTATAATATTAATATTTAAATTTGTTGTTAATATAATAGTATAATATATAATATAATGTAATTTTATAATATAAATTGTTAATATAATTATAGGATCATTTTTCGAAGAAATGAATAATTTTACTTTTCTTTTCCAAATTCCGTCGTGCGCATTTAAAATAATGTAAAGACTACGTAAATATCCCTCGCAGCGCAAAAGTACAAATTGAAAATGGGTTAATCGTGTCCTTTTATCAATCGGGAATGTTATCGAGGCCACGAGGACGTCCTCTGCGCAGGTGCTCGCCGTGGCATGCGAGACCGTTTCGATCGTTTTCTTCCTTGGCTGGGAAAGGCGTTTGTCATCCTTGCGCCCTCCTGATATGGATCACCGTCGTCGTCTCGGCGACGGAGACCGCGCAATCAAATCGATCTTGATAAAATAGGAAATAGAATAGAAAAAAACAATACGTCCGCAGGTTTCAACGCGATCGGTCGCGAATTAAACGTCGTCGGCGGGACGAGTCATCGGGACATTTTGCGAGTGAGTCAAAGGGGCGCTTAATCGTTTTATTATCGATCAACGCCACAGTTCGTGATGTACGTATAGAGTCGCGGACATTAGGAGCTTCTCCGTTTCTTCGGCCGACGATTTGATACTCGACTGGGAGAGAAATGTAGGACCGTCCCGGACCGCGGGGGTTGTGTGGCTAATTGAATCAAGCATAGCGTGTTACAATCGAGAGCGGTTCCATTTGTCGAAATTAACGCCGGGACCGTTCTCGTAGTCTTTGCAACCCGACGACGGGAATAAAAACCAGCGACGGCAAACACGGGAGTGTCTTTTACGTTGAGCCTTACGAGACTCGCTAATTCAATAGTCTAACAAAAGAAATCTGCTCGAGCTCTAAAGATCCTTTCCGGAGAAAAATCATTTGGTTATTTTTTATTTTATTTTTTTACGTCCTTTGAAATAAATATATAAACGAAAATATACGGTAATAATATAAAATAACTAAAAATTCCGCTAATAGTGACGACTATTAGCGGAATTATTTAGCTATTGCGATGCCTGTTATTCGGAAATTATTTAATTATTATCGCTGAAGAAAGCCCGAATAAGACCGAAACGTACGATTTAGGAAGAAGTTAAAGAATATGTAATATAATGAATAAAATGATATAAGAAAGAGAATTTTTACGCGCCAAGTCCTGCGTGTTGACTTATTGCCTTTATTGATTTGTATTATTTTAAAATTAAGAATCAGATACTTTAGATTGTAATTTTGATTTTACATATTATACACAGCTGGAAAATTTGTGTTAAATTTAATACATTTTACATGTACCAAACAGTTTACCTTTAAACTTTTAATTTAATACAACATGAACACGTCAAAAAGAAATACAAACATTATGTAAAAATTAGTAAAAATAATTTAACACTTTGACTTGATTCGGAAACAATTTGTGGAAACATATTTTTTCAGTAAAATTAACATTTATAATATATTAAACTAACAAATACATTTATTTTATAATTTACATTTTAAAATTACATTATTTTTATATTATTTATTCATTTATTGCTAAATTATACAGTTGAAAAATTTGTGTTAAATTTAACACATTTCATATGTTTCAAACGGACCACTTAAATTTTTGTGTTAATTTGACACAAGATGAATATGTTAGAAAGTAACATCAATACTCATGTTAAATTAATACAAAAATTTAAGTGGACCGTTTGGGATATATGTGTTAAATTTAACACAAATTTTCCAACTGTATAATTACTTATATTAAATTAAAACTCGAATATGTTAAAAATGTCAACACAAAATTTTAACAAGGACTTGAGTGGGTCGTTTCTAACACAAATACAAAATAATTTTTTACTGTGTATGTTATTTTAACAATAAGAAACGTTAAATATCAGTTTAACACAAAATATTTAAATTAATAAAATCATTATATTAAATTAATACTTAATATGTTAAAAAATTTAACATAAAATTGAACAAACATTTGAGTGGATATTTTTAACACAAGTATAAAGTTTTTCCTGCTTTCTATTATTATATGTTACAAAATGTTGTTCCGTTTTTTCTCGAAAAGTATTTTGAAAGCCTCGAGAAAGCTGTTTCTCGGAATATTAATTATTTTAAGCACTTTTAAACATATATATATTAACCGACCAGCGTTTCTTGATTAGAAAAATTGGCGCTATATGTTCACTACATGAAATTCTAAACTATTATATAAAAACTTTTGTTTCTCTTCGGCTGTTTCTAAATTGGTTCTAACTTTACAAGGTAGCAAACTATAAAAATAGCACGTCGCCATATGTAATATAACGTTTTACTGCCAGTATAGAGGCATTACGGAAACTTTGATTACGTCTGATCTCGACCCTCACGCGCGTTAAATTTTAAACGCGGCCGGAATCAATGCCGCGCCGCGCATAACGCATATGCACGTGTGTGCCGGCGATGGGCGTAAAGGCACGGGGATGACATTTTCTCTTGTCTTGTCTGCCGACAGATATCGATGTGGATGTCGAACATGGTGCAAAAGTCGGACAACGGAAGCGACGCCGTCGGCGACGCCGGCCTCCGCGTGCACGCGAGTTCGATCGACGACGAGTCGCTCGCCGCCACGGCCTTGACGCATTAGAGGGATTATCCGTTATTGCGGATGTGCGTCGGGCGCAATCGAAATGTCGTTTTTCGGACGGAGAATGGGTGGCGGCGGCGGCGGTGGCGGGGGCGGCGGGGGTTCCGAGCACACCGGTCATAACTTGCAGGACGGCCTGTTTCAAATCGCATCGCAGGCCTGTCACATCCTCGTGCAAGTGAGTCGATCTCTGTGTGCGTGGAGATCAAAGGTGGAGATGTTTGCGATGATTGTCAAGTATTTGACAAAATGTTACCCGATAGAATATTATCCAGCAGAATCGGAGTTAATGATATATAAAATGATATATGTATATTAAAAACAATAGGTATAAATACCTATTTTTAAGTTATTTATTGAGGACCTAAGATATTTATTTTACTATTTATTTTTTAAGATATTATTTAAAATACTGTGAGAAATAATAGGGTACAGCGGGGTAATTTGAATAGTGAGGTAATTTGGATAACAGTAAGCATTTGCAAGAATTTCAGAAAAATAGGGGATTTTAAGATACATTTTATTATATCAGACATTGATATAATGAAATGTAGCTTAAAATTTCCTATTTTCCTGACTTTCTTGCAAATGCTTACTGTTATCCAAATTACCCCACTATTCAAATTACCCCACTGTACCCTATATCGAATACTGAAGATAAAAAATAATATTGCATTCAATAGAATCGGAGATAACATTTAAAATGATATTGAAGACATTTAAATTATCTGTTGCAGATATTACAAAACCTAAGATATTTATTTTACTACTTATTTTTTAAAGATATTTAATGTACTATGGGAATCGAAAATAGCACTGAAACTAAAAAAGAATTGAAAAAGGAAACTAAAAAAGAGCAAGCATTGTAATGCTAAAAAGAACGTTAAAATTTGGCACAAATTTGCTGACAAAACTGAATTTATCGTTATCCTTGACGTTAAATCATACAGTCTATTGTATAAGATGAAAAAAAGAAGTGAAATTTACAGCATTCAGTATATTTCGGGAACCGGTAAAACCGCATGGCAAACCCGTCATCTTTTCATGTTTGATTCACATTGTTCATGAATCATGAAACGTATGTAACAGTAACATTTGAATAAGCTGATGCGGCATGTATTATAATCTTATCGATTCTGACGTATATCTCATTATTCACGCACTTTGTTCTTTAGGAGGAATTCCTCCTTTTACGCTGTTTACTTTCTTCAAGAGGGAATTCCTCTTTTTAAGTTTTTTTGTCTTTGTTCTTTAAGAGGTATGTTATTCTTTTCCTATTTTTAGATTGTTTTTCTTCCTAACAGATAGACTGAGAGAACTTTAATTAATTATGCTCGCATGACGCAGCAGAAATCATTGGGATGTATCTCGCACTTTTTCGCACTTGCGAGATTACGAATTCGAAATCGATTTATCTGCAACGAGAATTTTCGATTATTCACCTTGATTTTTCATTTCTTTACATTTGACTTTAAAGATTTGCGCAAAAGATTCTGCCTTAAATTAAATTAAAACGATATCAACGTAAAATGTATTATTTCAAGTTTATATAAGCTTCGCTTTATAAAGTAGTATCGCTTTCAATTTCCTCTTTCCGAACAATTGATCGCGGCACATAGCCTGTGTGTTATAAGCGATAAAAATAAATCGTTTTCTTTCCGCCCAAGGTGAACAATACGCACAACGTTTCTTACGGCGGTAGCAATAATGTGAATAACATCGCCTATTCGAAGTATTCCACGGCCGGCGGCTCCACCACACCGACGACATCGTCGTCGACGAAGGGAGCGACCGCCGCAAAAGCGTATCCGAAGTACGCGGAGCGTCGGGACAAGGACCAGGATGTGGTTGTGTTGTTGCCGCATCGCAAGAACAGGGCGCCGCGGCTCAAGCACAAATTATCGGTGAGTTGCAAATCTCTTGTGTATTCGTCGCGCTCAGACGTCTAAAATTTATACTGCTGTCGTGCGAAGGGAGCTCAAAACAATAACCCACTCAACCCACTGTTGTGTATAAAATCTAACAATTTTATTAATAATTTTATTAACAAGTCAAGTTAATTGACTCTTGAAACGGATTTTACTTATAAATCTGCTTCTATTTTCTTCTCTAATTTTAAGCTTTGCTATCCATAATGCTATAAATCGTTCCGAGATGTCGAACAAAGAAAGAATTAACACGCGTACAGATTAAATCACGTATATTTGAGCAATTGGTTGATTGACTAATGCGATAATGATCAATTCCTTCTCCGGTGAAAATATCAAAACGATTTCTGGCATCGTGGACATAAGGCTTTTAGAAAAGAAAAACGCGACGTACGTCACGTAATAAAAATTTCTTCTCGATTACTTCCTTGCTTTGTCGTCAAAGAAAAATCCCCGATTAAATCTTCGAATTTGCTTATTTCCCTAATGAATCACGAGCGGATTAAGTCTCTCGTCACGGATCCGTTTGAACGGAATGGCAAAGTCCGCGCGCTCCTTATCATATTAATGAGATAAAATTTATGTCGTCGTTTTTAATCAGACAGCTTAAAAATGGCGGTAAGAACTAGGAAGAAGCGTTTTTTTCCTTTTTATGTATTTATTGCTTCTTGAAGCAGATATTTATGAAGTATGTCAATCAATAATATTATACACATTGTAACGCGCTTGCAACATAACTGTGCGTAAAATAGCACGCGTGATATACTTTTTTGCAGACCGTATCCGAAAACGCACGGCTGGATGTGAACTCCCCGGGAGGTGATGATGACCTAGAGTTATGGGACCAGACCGGATTTATGTTGAGAACCGACGTGGACGATCCTCTCACGAATGCAAAGTACGTATACATATATTTTAATTTAGAAAATTAGACACATCAGAAGCAAAGATTTGTGATATCAATAATTTTTAGGAAATGTAAATATTTTCCATGATTTTCTCAATTACGTAAAAATAGTATAACTTAATAAAAATTCCCCATCTTTCGAATTGCTGCCCAGCAAACATATATTAAATTATAATTACAATATTACAGCAACCTTGTAATATTTCTGCAATATAGCTGAAACGTCATAATATTGCTGCAACATTGTAGTTATAACCTGTGTTTGCTCGGTGTATTCTCGATTGATAAATAAATTATTATTCCATGTAAGGGAAGCTTATTATTCCTCTTGGCTTTTAATATAATTGCTTTTAATGTAGTTATTTTTTACAAATTAAAATGGAATATGCGTTAAAGGAGCTATTTAAGCCTTAAAGATTTTTGATTGTGCAAGAAAATTGTGACGCTATTGTTATTGCGATTAGATTACAGTAAACGTAGATCATTTTCTGTCAAAGGTGGGGCAAGCAGGGTTGGTGCCGACCCAGTTGCATACCAATAACGATCATACTAATTCTGATCGTTCTGGTCGTACTCTTGCCGCTGTTGGATCATGCGGCGGACAAGTATCCGCTGAACGCCGCGTTAGATGGGGAATCGACGTGCATGGATCGTTGCAGTATATCCCTGGTGGAATCTATACCCGTGGGCTTGGATTATAGCAATGACACGGCGCAGCACGAGTCAATCTACGATTCTTGGATGGATCTCATCGGAATGGCGCAGGACACGATCGAGATCGCGTCGCTATATTGGACAATGAAAAGGGACGATGTGTTTCCCGACGACAGTGCTAAGATGGTAAATAATGTAGCAGTGTAGGGCACACTCAATCGTTCGACGTTATCCGTTTAACAAATTGCCTTGTTACAGGGAGAACAGGTGTTCCAGTCGCTGTTAGAAGCCGGGAGAGATAGACACATTGCGCTAAAAATCGCACAGAATCTTCCCTCCCGCTTGTCTCCGAACGTCGACACGCAAATTTTGGCCAAAAAGGCTAACGCACAGGTAATATATATTATAGTGTGCATTTTGACGAGGTTAAAATATTTACATTTTATCGCTAAATAATCGTATGAATTGTAAGATAAATTTTATATTTAGTATTTATATTTAAATTTATCAATTTAGCGATAAAGCATTGCCTATAGTGTTACTAATTTTTTATTAGCATTTATTTATTTTTTAAATATTTATTGCGCGACACAGTATGATACAGTTTTATCGTTTTTTTGCCGTGCATAATTTTTAAGAAAACAATGTATTTTTACTCGAATTCAGGTAAGGAGCTTAAATTTCGCTGGGTTGTTGGGCGGCGGTGTACTTCACACGAAACTGTGGCTGATCGATCGTACTCATGTATATGTTGGCTCGGCGAATATGGATTGGAGATCCCTTTCGCAAGTAAAGGAACTCGGCTTGATAGCCTTGAATTGTTCCTGCTTAGCGAATGATTACGCCAAAATATTCGATGTAAGCTGTGAAGTAAATTTATATAGAAATGTGCAGTAAATAATTATGTTTACTATCTTTGAATTGAAAATTCATGCAATTATTGATGACCTCCTTTATTTTACAGGTATATTGGAAGTTAGGCGAAGATGGTAAAGTGCCTTCCACATGGCCAGATTCCTTTAGCACAAAGATAAATATAAATAATCCTTTGAATTTTACGTACATGGATAATAAGTACAAATTATTTATCGCGGTTAGTATTGTCTTAATAAACGAGTTATATGTGTGTGTAAATAAACTTTTTTAATTGTAGAAAAAATATATATTAAAATGTTACAGAGTTCACCTCCGCCGTTTTCACCGAAAGGTAGAAGCAGCGATCTAGACGCGATTATGCACTGTATTGCTAAAGCGGAAAAGTTCATTTACATCTCTGTGATGGATTATTTCCCATTAACGATATACACTCCACAAATAAAGTATGTATAATACAAATATAAATATTATTTAAATACACAAATGTAAATATAATTGTTTTATAAATTAATGCTTAATACATATATAAAATACAGTGTAAAATAGATATGTATAAGAATATAAACTGTTATATTTTATATGTACATAACATTTTCTTTTATTTTATTTTTTTTGCTAATAATTTAAGTATTGTTTATATTTATATTTACAGATATTGGCCTATAATAGATAATGCTCTGAGGGCGGCGGCGATCGAGCGTAAAGTAGAAGTGCGTCTTTTGATTTCTTGGTGGAAACACTCGAGACCGTCCGAATCGTATTTTCTTAAATCACTACAAGACTTGACGAATAGTTACGCCAAAGTCAAAATCGAAGTGGTGAGTATTTTCCCGTAAAGGTTATTCTGGTATAAATGAGCACGTATGCCTTTCTAATGACGTTAAATTATCGGATTTTTAATAGAGGAGGTTTATCGTACCTTCCAATCGGCACTGGGACAAAATACCGTTCGCGAGAGTAAATCACAATAAATATATGGTTACTGATGTGGCGGCTTATATCGGAACGAGCAATTGGTCGGGTGATTACTTCATTAACACGGCTGGTAAGTTATTCAAATATCGATTTTCGCGGAAATAAAATAAGAAAAAAAATAAATTAGAGTAGTAATAAAACTTATGCGTTACTTTATTTTTATAAATAAATTATATAAAATCATATCATACATAAATATTTTTCTTACAAAAATATTTTAACGTGAACGTTTATTTCAGGTATCGGCACTGTGTTCGAAAGCGTTGGACATGAGAATAACGACAGCATAAGACAGCAGCTGGAAAATATCTTCCACCGTGATTGGTATTCCAATTATTCCTTTCCGCTAAATATAAACGAGACATGGGAAAACTCATGGGATTTATCGAGAAATTTACATCAACATTTATCATATGACATATACATGAATAATTATGGTAATCGCGTACACAATGAATGATTTTAATCATGAAACATTCATCATGTTGATTTATACGAGGAGAATCCATTTTCAATGGACAACGGAGCAACTGAAATTATTTCATGTATTATACTTCTTTATTATATTCTAACCGTGTGCTCTCTTCGCTTTTAAATTTTTGTAAATATTTTCTAAAATTTTCATACATCTTACAATTTTGCGCAAACAATAGATCATTGAAGTATTTGGATTAATCGTTACGTACAAGGGATGTTTCCAAAGTTTTCATGTTTCTGGGAATCGCTATATAAGTCGACGGATAAAACTCGTCAAAAATTTTTCGAAGATGGAAGAAAAATTTTGTGATTTAGGATAAGGGAGAACTATAATAAATGGAATCTATATCGAAAAATTAATGTAATGAATAAAATAAAAGATTTATACACAATTCCCAGAGCTTTAGAAACATTCTTTGTAGATATACATATGTTGCTGTCTACTTGTGCGGATTTATATGTTGTATACGTGGCATAATATCAAGCTATTTAGTGATTTTAAGAAATTAAACTATGATATTTTGTAGCGCTACCCTGGTAAAAATTTTTTTTAATTTTTAGAATTTTTATATAAGGTGTCCTGAATTTAAATATTAAAACTTCGGGAGCGTGTATGGGATCGATAAACTAAAAAAAAACGTCCTTTAAAGATATATTTATTTTTACTCCGTTTTGGAAAAAAAATTGCAAAAAAGATAAAATATAGTTTTTATTTTTGTATTTATTTATTATTTATTCATTCACACTTATTTATTCACGTTGTCTTAAAATTCTTAAAAATTTTTTTCACCAGGGTAAACTACAATATTACGGCGTTAAGTTTGTTACAACTAGTGACATGTAAATTAATATTTTATCTTTTATATGAATATTTTTTAATAATTATTACAATATTGATCATGAACTCAGAATTTAGTTTACAAAAACATTCGCAATGAATTTGATCAAGCTTATATATTTTTTCATTTAATTATTTAATACATAGCATTTTTACACATTTCTTAGCAATTAAGTATTTTTCCCGAATTCTCTCCTCAAAATTTGTCTCTTCTGACACACTTTGATAAAATCTTCAGAAAGGTTCCGTCGATTAAAAATAATAGGCGATATCAGTTCTTCCTTTATACTGATCTCTCTTTATCTCACGATCTTATTCGTATCGCGCTACCGCTACGTTCGCAAGTATCAGATATCGCTTAACGAAAAACGCATGTTGTTTAATGAGACGGACAAAACGTGCCTTACAAGAGCATTGTCTTTGCGATAAGTACGGTGATTTTATTATACATTCGAGAATTTAAATACATCGACTCTGCGTTCTTCCATGTAATCCGTGACTTCTCTAGAACTTATCCGTTTGTTACCTGTGTTGTTGCCTTTCTTACTAGTATATGCAAAAAAAAAATGGGACCTGATTATTGATGTCTTGATAAGTGTAGAAGAGAAAAAAAAATGCAAAAATAGTTAAGTGGATGGTTTGTGTTTAGGTAAAATGACTACTACAATATCGCCTTTGTCCGGCTGTGCTCAGCAGACAAAGCAGCATTACTATTGGTTTCCACACTTATTGTTAGATCTAGCGAAGAACTGAAGGCAAGAACCAATCAGATTAAAGAATCAAGAAGCGTTTACTGAACCGCCTTTGTTCTGCTGAACGCAGCATTAATCGAGTGGTATCCGCGTATTAATTTTCGTGCACAATTATTAATATTGCATTCAATTCTCCTGCCACTAAAAAAAAATAAAATAAAACGGAAAAAGACTAATAACATTGTCGAAACTCTAATAAACTTTTACTATATCTTAAGCACCTCAATAAGCAGTACTTATATATATACATTACGATTAAATGTAAAATGCATGTCTAATTAAATGAAATGTAAGAAGAGTAATACAAACGTTAAGTGATACTAAAAGTTTCTATTAATGACGGAAATGTCAGTATCGTGACAATCTGCGATTTACCTTCCATATTATGTTTTGGAATTGATATGAAGCAAAAAATGATATAGGTTTAAGACGAACTAGATGTATAATACACATACCGATCTACGCCTTCAAAATTAAAAAAAAATATGTCGAATTATTTCACGATAATTAATCGACTTTTACACACATGAATATACACACTCACAGGAATTTAAGGTATACTGAAATTATTGGTTATTATAGCTTATAAAAATGTAAGGGACATTATAATGTGTACACTATAATATATATTGTAAGTCTGCTACATTGCGTATTATCAATTGTAAACAACGATAATTAAAGAATTGCTTTATGAAATATTATTGTGATTGCGCGCGCAAACAATTAAGAACATATAAATTATACATAAAGATCTTTTTCTTGCTATATTTGTGCCTTGCTTGAAAAACTGGTCTTACAAGCTACGTTCGGGCAGCATGAAACATCACATTTTACAATTTTTTAGCTACATTTTTTTCTTTATCGTTAATTAGACACGATGACACAAGTACTAATTTTTCAAACTGATAGCGCTGTGGCACTATTTTGACCTTGTTTTACGTATAATTAACGATGAAACAACAGCACGCTCCTTGAACGCAGCTGTAATTGTATAAAAATGACGATGTATTTTAATAGCTTTGCCACAATTTTGTATAAATTAATATAAAAGAATTCCCACACCCTTCTCCTTTTTTCGCACACACATATCGTTCCATTGATGGAAAAGTGATAAAAGTTAAAAATTTTTTAGGATAATGAAAGAAAATTAATCATAAAAGTCTAATATAATTTCGTAAAAAAATGACACATTTAATAACTCTCCCAATCTACCGGCCGCTAGAGAGTAGAAATATCACCACTCTGATAAGGGATGAAATTTACTAATTAAAAAAGAGTGTTGCGAATGATCTGTTTTTTCGCTTTACTCATGGCAAATAAAATAAATATTATTTCTTATTATTTTTAAAAATGATAAGAAAAATTCAGTGGTGCTAGTTAAAGTTATCGGAAACGTACTAAGAATATAAAAAATTAAGTTTAAATCGATAAAACGTGACGTGCGTGTTTTTATGCGGTTACACGTTCGAGTCGATTTATTCCACTTAGCGATTATATCATATAGACATACATTAGAGCAAGCGCATGAAAATTTTCCTTTACGGAAAGTTTCTCACTTTTTGTTCAAATACATACAGCATTATAATAAAATATTCTATATTTTTTATGTCAGATGACGTTTATACTGTATGTCATGAATATACATATATTAGCGTAGCGATTTTCTTAAATAATGAATGACTGCGATACTATGCGCTTTATAGATTCAATCTCAATTTCTTGTATTTCCAGTTATGTGATGTAATTTCAACATTAGCACTATTGGATTTCTCACCTTAAAAAGTGTAAGAAGTAATGTCTATTCTATCTTTCCTATAGCACAACAAAAACAGACTCTTTGTTTTCGTGACATTTTTCTTTAAATGAAATATACTAGGATTTGCAGTGTTCGAGTCTGAAAAACTCATGACATAGTTTTAAAGAAAATAATTAAAAGTGTGTGCTACAATTGTGATTAAAAGTGATTGTAATTGAAAGTGTAACATTGAAAGGAAGTGAAGTCATGAATATGCATTATTCTATTATTAAAACGTTGTTCCAGTTTAGAATTGAAAGATTCTGTATGTCTATACGCATATATACAGTAAAGAATTCTTTTATATGTATAAAAATTTTAAATGTTTGTTTATTCGCATACATATGCTTGTGCATTTATAAAAATAACAACTAATATTAGTTCCGATATAGTAAAAATTCTACTCAGAGAAAAAACAAGTACGCAAATGTCTAAGTGATTTCTAGCTTAAAAGATTCTAAATTTAAACAAACTTTTAGCTATAGAGAGATGCGATGATATATTATCGTTATCTTTACCGATGAAAAATCATTAACATATATTGTAAGTTAATAATTTTCAATAAATCTTTATAAAATTAACTAAATTATAATAAAAGAAAGTATGTTTTTGTATTCAGATGATTGTCAATGTAAATTATTAAATAATTTAAACTAGGATGCATTAACATTTCAATGTTCTTTGAAATATTTGTTAATATATTTTATTTATTTATTCTGTTACGTTTCTTTTGCTTTAGCTAATTTTTGCAGAAATATAGAATACTTAATAATTTGTATATAAATTACGTTTTTATATTTTATTTAAAACATAGAATTTACAATTATGATATTCATAACGAAATAAAATTCCACGCGCAATTCTCGACATTAACATGTTTAGAAATCAATTTATTAAATAATTTTTATAATTCCTATCTTTACAAGCACATACAATACAGACAGTGAGAAGAAAGATGATATAATTTAGCAAAGAAAAAGAAAAATTATCGATGATTCAAGTGATGCATTGACACGTGAAATGTATGTAAAAATGTTATTTGAATTAACAATATTAAATGTCAAGTAAACTTATTTTTATTCTTTATTTTGTTCCGTATCCTCGATAATCTTCTCAAGAAACAGTATGTGACTCAGGTAGTTCGAAACCGCAGTTAGGTCACTTAGTTCTTACTGAGAACCTTCTGATGTGTGTGAGAATGTTTTTACGTTGGCCCGTGAACGGGTCCAATCCCTACCACGACGCAACGTCCGGGTAACCGTTATTAATCGGTCAAAATGTTCATGAAACCGGTATCGCGGTACCGGTAACGCAACCGTGCCTTCTTCTTTATCGGGGAATTCAAAGCTTCATCTACATTAGTGACTACTAATCCCGGGATTCCCGAGGATACCCCATCAAATTTATCTTTTAAAGATATTCAAGCCTCCAGGGGCTGTGTTCTTCCAAAGTTCAAATATTTATTATTTGAATTTTATAATATCGTCTTTCTTGATAGATAAGTGTAATCAAAATGCGGAAGCCTCTATGTTATAACGTAAAATTATATATTATAATTATATATAGTATATTATCAATGGAGACCTTGTGTTTTAACGTTTGATATCTACAAGGATAACTTTATCCATTAACATTAGGCGTATGACTTTGCAAAGAACAGATTTCGAATGCTGATACAAAATATATATAACTGTTTGCATTTTGAGCAAGTCCTTAAAATCTATAATTGAAATTTTATTAACGATTAGAAAGTAAAATAGGATTGTTCAATAGAAATTAAATTTATCTTTATGAGATAAATCTCATGATACAATTAACTCGGAATAGATGAGTGAATTGTATCGTGAGATTTATCTCATAGAGATAAATTTAATTTCTATTGAAAATCCTATTTTATTTTCTAATCGTTAATAAAGTTTCAATTATAGATTTGAAGGACTCGTTTAAAATGCAGTTATATATATTTTTGTGTCAGTATTCGAAATCTGTTCTTTGCAAAATCATACGCGCCTAATGTTAATGGATAAAGTTATCTTAGTAGACATCAAACGTTAAAACACAAAGTCTCCATTGACAATATACTGTATATAATTATAATATATAATTTTACGTTACGTAGTATATATATGAATTTACTCAATTCATATGTATACTGACTACTATTTATACATTCATTTTGCTATTTATAATTATGATAAATAGTGTTAGAATTAACTACCATGCAGAAGTATATCTCTTCCTATTTAAAAAAGTGCATGTAAAGTCAATAACTCGCATTTCTCGAAATTATTTGTTGTCGCTTTTCCGCGGTGCTGATTGGTTGTCTCGCTGCGTTTACTTCGTGTAAGCGGCTGTGTCATTGTGTGTATTGAGGTTGATGTAATTGTAAATTATAGTAAGAAATATTAAATAGCGCGCGCGAAGCGCGCGTTTGTAGTGCTAGTATAGGAAAAAATGAGGTTATTTACATTTGCCATAATAACAAACCGATAATTTCACCTTGTGCATTAATAAAAGATTATAAGCTAATTGCGTCTGAGTTAATGGAAATATTCTAGGAAAATTTTCATTTAATGCACGAGATTATTCTTGCAAATTTTAAACGAAACAAATTACCATTGGAATACAATCTGCTTTACGATACAACGATAAAAGCTTTGACAATTCTGATTTTACTTCGGTCATTTCCGAGAAACTACACTATTACGACTGATTAATAACTAATTTAACATTTGACTGTTTCCGCGCGTTTTTTAGGGTATCGTTTTAAATCTCGAGGAGCTTGCGCTCGCGACGAATAAATCGTAGCTAACCCTGCTTAAAAGATTCGATAGATAATGATAAAGAAATAGATTTAAACTTTATTAAAATTTTATCAAGTTTTATATTAAAATTATCGTTTCTATCGGACTCACATTTAAACTATAGAGAAGTTATCTATTTCTATTGTTTCTCAATAGTATATCTTACTTAAACATTAAATACACTTAAATACAAATTGGAACGTATACGTTTTTGTATACAACTTATCGAGTTATCTAATTCAAACTGAAAATTATAATTTGTTACATATTTTATAATATTTATAAAAAATATTAAAATAATTTATATATATAAAAGACACAAAATCTCTAAAATTAAAATATTATATAATAATCATATATAAACTAAAAATATTGTACAATAATATCAATTTCGATTAAATATGGTCAAAGATAACCATTACTTAAAGTGACTTTTAAATTATATACTAAATAGAGAAAAAAGACAACAATCTGATATTTACAAACCAGAAACATGATAGAATTGCATAGATTTCTTCTTATCTAATTCTATCGGATCTTTTAAACAGGGAGGATATCGTACATCTCTTCGTCCTTTCTTTTTATTATCATATTACGAACGCTGACGTAGTGAAGGCGGAGGAGGAAGATAAGCAGAAGGTAGGATGTAGGTGCCACTGAAGAAGGGGTACGAAAAGACGGAGGTGGGAAAAGTGGGACCTCGCGCGCGTCGGCTCGACCGGAGTGACAAAATGCGGGCTGTTTTACTCGTGAAAAGTCGCCGAGGCAGAAAAGAGGATCGATAGAGATCCACGCGCGCGAGGAGAAAGTTATTACATATATACCTACCGGTATTCACGTCCGCCTGATTGCCTGCCTATTTTGCCTGAGCACCTGCCAGCGCGCGTTCGCTCGTCTTGGCTGTCTGCCTGTGCCTGCCTCTACCTGCCTGCCTGCCTGGCCTACTCGTCCGCTGTCATTGCCGCTGCAATCCGATTCTTTTAGTTCGATCATCTCTCTCAGCATTCAATAAGGTCAGTGTAAAATTAACATATTGCGCTCGATATGCGAGACACGTATTCGCGGCATCTGTCGACGCAGCGAATCCGCGACACGCGTTTTTTTTCTCCTAGTCATAGCTTCATTTAATCGCGTTACCTCGATTGAGTTATCCAGTCGACTTCCCTATTTCCGCGGCGCAAGACGTCAGCGATTGAAACGCAACTTCATCTTGGCAGCGTAAGTCTCGTTGAAACGCACCCCTTTAACAGACGCAATTTTATAAGGTCTTGCTATCTCGCTTCGCTAAATTTTAGAATGTATTAGAAAAATTATAAATCTCGCAAAAGTAATATATTGCGCCGCTAGAACGTAAAGTGTTTTATCGTAAAAATTTTGTTCTTTTATACTTAAATCTAATCTATATTTTCGGTGATTCCGATTCTATTTATACGCAAGTCTGGTATGTTCTATAATTTAAAAAACTTTGACATTAAATACCGAGACTTACGTCGGTTAAAGTAAATTAAAAGAGTCTTCCTCTTTTTCTTTTTCTTTTCTTCCTTTGGTGAAATCGAACGGAAAACCCAACGTATCTTTTTGTCGATCGAAACCGATGAGTCGAGGGAAAAAAGTACTGAACGGAAATCGAGCTATTGCAGCATATCTTTTTGGTATCAATTGCAAAATAAGTATGCCGTTTCTCCTTTCCAAACAAACACGGGAGTTACAAAGTATTTGCCATTAAATCGTACCATTCCACTTATTTGTCATAGTTTTTGTATTTGATTTCTCTCTTTCACGCGCGCGTTTACGTCCGGCATCCACTTTCCTTTCTCGTTGTCGTTTATCTTCTTTTCTCTGAGTTATGTATTCGAGTATTCTTTTTTTTTCAAATGTATTAAATGCAGACGTTATAGAATTAATTGGCAAACAGAATTCGCTTTGACATTTTATACGTATAGGTATATACAGTCGAATCTCGATAACTCGAATCTCAAGAGAAGAGAAAAACCCTTCGAATTATAGAATTTACGACTTATCGATATTCGAGTAAAACAAAGTTAAAATTCGACTTACGGAGGCTTTGTACGAGAGTTTACAATTTTCCGATTATAATGGCTTTTAAAGGAAAAAAATCAATATTTGACAATAAATTATTTGTTGCATACATATAATAAATGTAATCATAAAACAAAATATCAGGCTATTACTCTGCATGATTAAACAACTTTGAATTATGTAGAGGCAGCGACAATAGAAATTTGACTTATAAAGGTGAACTTCGACTTGTAGAGGTCTAGCTACTTTAAATTCGAATTACAGAGGTAAAATAATACATTTAAATATTTGACAAATAATTCAAGTTAAGATACGTTTTATTTCAATTTATAGAGATTTTCTGCAGTGCAGCGGAAGGGAATGAACAAAATTTTTGTCTCAGAGGTTTTCGAGTTGTAGAGGTTCGAGTTATCGAGGTTCGACTGTTTTTACGAAACTTAGGATTAAGAGGAATGTATATTATTCGGCATCGACAGTTTAACTGTCGCCCGAGCGGTTGGAAAACCTCTTTGATTTCGTAACTTCTACGAATTTACAAATATAACATCTTGAGTTAGGCGCATGTAATTAGCGCACTTAACGTTTCCAACGACGTTGCACGACTCTAATCGCGTGCGCTACGTACGTGAGTTCGTAATAAATATTATCTCATCGTGGCGTTATCGATAACGGTAGTCCGTGCAGAGTCACGCTGGCGAATTTTGGCATCCTCCACATTTTTTTCTCGCTTCATATCTTTGGAATCTTTTTCGACACGTAGCCTGCACACAGTCACGTACACATTTCAGCCACCCCCGTTTTCCTCCGCCTCCTGGATACAGCCTCTCTTTATTCGGCGTGTCATTCGACAACGGTTACTTTTCGCGTAACGGGGAACCACCTGTGGCGGTTCCGGTACGCTCTAATAGAGCGGCTTAATGTGAAGATTACGGGATGCTGGAACTGCGAGGCAGCAAAGCGCAATAAAAATAATAATTACGGGCAGCAACGCGGATGTGCACGGGGGTCTTACACGCGCGTTTTAGTCCGTGAAAAATTTATTAATTATTTTTAACTTAATCTTACAGTTTAATATTACATTTACAACCTCATTGTTTGACATTACTCATAAATTCTAGAAAAATTACTTTTTAAAGGAATTATTTATTATTTTATTGGCCAAGAACTCGAAAATAATCTAGAAAATTTTATAATTGATATATTTGAAGCAACAAGGTCAAAAGTAAAATAAGTCAATTAGATTCAAGATGTTATTTCAATGTTCTAAAGATGTCTACGACATTGAAAGAGCTAATTAAACGTTTTAAGGCGAAATACAAGCTTTCTATTTGTATATATATATGTTTGTTCTGTGAGTAAGACTTTCTCATGCAAGCTGGATAAGACTATTCACGTCTACTTTCAGTTATTATTTTAAAGATATCAGAAGATTAGAATATTTTTTCTTATTAAGCAAATTATATCAAGCAAATAGCTATCTTTAAATAGCATACGGTAGTCGTAAAATTTTTAGATACATAATAAAACAGCGTCAGCGAGCGCGCGTCACACTTATATAAACATTCGTTCATTAGTTTCTAATTGCTTTTATTAAAAAATTGCTTGTGCGTAATTTTACCAGAAAAAAGAATTGCTCTTCTGTCACAGAGAATTGCACTGTGCATTCCACTATGCGAATTTTGGAACATTTGGTATATAAATAATTGTAGAGGATGAGTTTATCTTTAGAAAAATTAAATACTGTAAATATTAAAAATTGGTTTGTGCTTAATTATTTTAAGTATTAAAAGCACTGTTGCCAATGCTTTTAATAAAAATAAATAATTAATCACTAATCAACTTTTTTAATACTTACAATATTAAATTTTTCTAAGAGATTTTTAAGCACAGAAAAATGTTAGCAAAAATAATATTAAAATTATATTATAAAATATAAATCACAACTATTGATTACTAATATTTATTTTATTATAAAGCAAAAGTATTTATTACAAAAATTCATATCAATGGAGGTATGTACATTGATACAGCAAATTCTTTACAAAAATTCAATTTAATATTGGAAATTATTTTGAGTATTAAATAAATAATTAATTTTATTACCTACTAGTATTAAATTTCTGTAAGAGATATTAATACAGTGTTCGTTACAACAGTTGTAGTTACGGCCATTAGATTCCATATATCCTTATCTTTTTGTTTAAAATTAATTTTTACCGTTGTATTACGAGACATAATATTAAATAACATATGTATAATTAATTAGTACATACGTTTAGATTTAAATGTAGGTAAATAGAAGTTCTCTCCGATTCTTTTGTTCGCATTAAAAAATGTGCAAACCTTTTTTTAAGTTCAATATAATAGAATAGCAGCAGTATTATTGTGACGAGAAAAATATATTTGTTCAATTTAGAAGTTAAAACACACGGAATAATATTAAGTCGAGCCATTTCAACATTTTAGATAGCAGCTATATGAATTTCGAATGTTGCTCGATATTTTTAGTAATTTTTAGTAATTGTAAGTTATGTCCTAAGAGGCCTTATTGCTGTAAATTGCTTTATTCGGCAAAAATTTATCATTTTTTCTATTATCGGTAATATTAGTGTTTTTTTTTTAAACAAAAATTCCATTTTATATTATGTACTCATGCAGAATGAAATGAAGTTACAAAATTTCTTATGAACATTATTTACTTATTATTATATATATATATATAATGTTTACTATTTATTTTCTAATTTATTAATATTCTCTATTATTAATAATTTAGATGTAATATTCTTGTTCTATTTAATATTTCTTATTACATTTAATGCAAAATTTTTTGTATTATTTATTAAAAAATAACGTTTTTTTCAAAATTATTTTCCAAATTCGGTTCTTTGTGATCTATCCTTTTTTGTGAACACTTAATTTTAATCTTACTTCTGTTAGAGCTTTGTTGTCCTGACAAAATAATTCTATATATGACTGTTAAGTAATTTTATATTTATTTGTGAAAATTTTAATGTATAATTTTGTACATGTACTTCAATAAAAGCAATCTTCTTGGCTTGGTTTCTATAAGAAACCACATGCATTAAATATAAGACATACATACATATATGTATATAAAGAGACAATGTGTTACTCCTGATATTGCTTTAATTTGATTCACATAATTGTTTTGCTAATTGTGCACGCCTCTTGTATTATTTATTAAGTCAACTGAATTTGTTATTTGTAAAATTTGGTCAACAATTTACAATCGGCTGCATATATTAATATAATTATAATAATAAATGTAAATAAATTTCATTAATAGTGCGAGGATCATATATTTAACAGCAAATTGAAGAATGTTAAAAATTAACAAAAAGGAATAATTGCTTTATTCGATAATTAAAATTTTTTATAGATAACGAGAGATTACATCAAATTTATGTGATTATCAAATTCGCCGAAATTGAAAGCGATAGCAAAATGTCCTCTGCATTACAAAATACATAATTAATGAGAGTGATACTATTTACTAGGAAATAGATAAATATTTATCGTCTGGTTCATCGATTACGGACAGCAGTTTCTGCGTAAAAATCAGGAAGAAATCATTTCGCATGTTTTAAACGACCGAATCTCGACGCGACACGAAAAAATCTAATAATTCGACGATAGCGTCTACTTCAGAAAATACATTCGACGTGCTTACGCGGTGCCTCTTTCTCTTCTTTCTTCGCACTGGCCATGGCGAGAAATCGACCGGCTCCGCAGTTTACATAAGAGGATATTCAAAACGGTTGCGTTGCTCCTAGTGTTGCTCCAAGTGGTTGCTATTCATCGTCGTTATGCTAATTGCATGATGTTAAAACGTTGCGCGTTCGATTTCCTCTGATCGTCAGGCTAATGGTAATCGTTGATAATGAATTCTGAATCGTGATGGTAGTGGTGATGGTTAAAATTGTCCACCATAAAAAATTGGTAAAGAATT